TTCTGGAAGTGCCTCTTGGAAGTTTTCAGCAAAAACCAGATTGAGACTGACTGTAGCAGAGAGTGGGGGCTGCCCGTTATCCTTTACTAAGACCACTAGCTTCTGCTTCAGAGCATCTCTTTCCAAAAACGTCCGCAAGGTCCTGATTTCACCAGTGTGGGCACCAATTGTGAAGAGCCCTGGCTCAGTGGCTTGCAGTAGATGATAGGAGAGCCACGCATTGTGCCCAGAGTCGGCATCCACAGCCACCACCTTCGTAACCAGATAGCCCACCTCTGCTGAGCGAGGCACCATCTCAAAGGAGGCTGAGCCCTCTGCTCCTTGAGAAGGATACAGAATTTGAGGACTTTGGTCATTTTGGTCCAGGATGAAGACCTTCAGTGTGGCATTGCTGCTGAGAGGTGGGGAGCCTCCATCTTCAGCCTTCACCTGTACCTGAAACTCTCTGAGTTGCTCATAGTCAAAAGACCGCTGAGAATAGAGCGTGCCAGTTTCTGAGTTAATGGAGAGGTAAGACGGGAGAGGTAGTTCCTCTATTTTGCTAGTGAGGATGGAGTACGTGATCCTAGCATTGCGGCCAAGATCGGGATCTACAGCTTTGATGCTAAAGATGGAGGAGCTAGCAGGATTGTTTTCTGGCACGTGGACAGTGTAAGAGGATTTCTCAAAGGCAGGGGCATTATCGTTGATATCTGAAATCTCTAGTGAGATGGTTTTCAGTGTAGAAAGAGGGGGTGAACCTTTGTCTGTGGCTGTGATTGTAAGATTGTATGCTGGGGTGCTCTCTCTGTCTAGGGGACCATCTGTAAGCAGCTTATAATAGTTATTAGAGGCAGATACTATTTTGAATGGAAAAGCGTTTTGTAAATGGCAATTAACCTCCCCATTATCCCCTGAATCTCTATCATTTATATTGATAAGGGCTACTAGTGTTCCTAATTCAGAATTTTCAGGAATTTCACTGGATGAGGAGGCAAGAATCACTTCTGGGGCATTATCATTCACATCTAATAGGTTTATTTCAACATTACAGTGAGCTACTAAACCACCTCCATCCCTTGCTTCCACCGTTATTGTATACTTCTCTGTTTCCTCAAAGTCTAGGTCTTCCCAAACTGATATAATTCCATGTTCTGGATCCAAATCAAATTTCCGATGAGCGTTATCAGCAATATTTCTAAAGCAATAGTTGATCTGTCTATTGGAACCTTCGTCTCTGTCTGTGGCTTTCACCTGTATAACAGTAGATCCTTTTGATGCATTCTCTTTGAGGCTGACCATATAGAGTTCTTGACTGAAGATGGGTGAGTTGTCATTGGCATCGATGATCCTGATCCATATTTTGGCTGTTCCAGTTTTTGCTGGATGCCCTCCATCAACAGATGTAAGTGTTAAATTAATACTACTTTCACTTTCGCGGTCTAGCTGTTTCTTTAACACTAATTTTGGATATTGTTTTCTATTTTCCACCTGTCTAAATTCAAGAATGAAATTCTGATTAATGCTTAGATGATAATCCTGGAGCGAATTTGTCCCAATATCAGGATCTTCTGCTTGTTCAAGAAGAAATGTGGCTCCTGGTAAAGAGGATTCAATTATCTCTAGCTTGATATCACCATTTAAGAAATGTGGTGCATTATCATTAATATCCTGGATCTCTACTGTTATATAAAATATGTCCATAGGGTTTGCACACACTGCTTCAAAACTGATGGGGCAGAAAGCAGTTTCCCCACAGATTTCCTCTCTGTCAATCCTGTC